GCCACCTGCCCATCAATGCCACATGTGCCCATCAATGCCACCTGCCATCAATGCCCATCCAATGCCACCTATGCCAGTGCCCATCAATGCCACATACCAGTGCCCATCTGAGTTGCCTTTCAGTGTCACCCATCAGTGCCATTCAGTGCACCCATCAGTGCCATTCAGTGTCACCCATCAGTGCCATTCAGTGTCACAGTCCATTCAGTGCACGCCTCATGCAGCCTATCAGTGTGCATCAGTGCCCGTCTATGCTGCCTATCAGTGCCGCCTAACAGTGCCCGTCCGTGCTGCCTATCCGTGCCGATTTTCAGTGATGCCTACCAGTGCCACCTACCAGTGCCTCCTCATCAGTGCCCATCAGTGCCACCTATCAGTGTCCATCAGTGCTCATCACTGCAGCCTCATTAGTGCACATCAGTGAAGAAGAAAAATCACTTATTTACAAACTTTTATAACAAAAATTAAGAAAAAACTTATTTTTTCTTCAAAAAAAATAATAAAAACCCAGAGGAGATTAAATACCACCAAAATAAAGCTGTCACACACAAAAAATGATAAAAATTTCATATGGGTACAGTGTTGCATGACCGCGCAATTGTCATTCAAAGTGTGACAGTGCTGAAAGCTGGAAATTTTCCTGGGCAGGAAGGGGGTATAAGTGCCCTGTAGGCTAGTGGTTAAAAAAAAAATCTATTTTTTAACATTTTAAACTGCTTTTTTTAAAATATACTTTCATCAGAGTAGTTCAGTGTCATCATAGTGACACTGTACTACTGTGGAGGGGGGTGATTAGGGTTTTTTTTTTTTTTTTACACACACTGATTGCTGTTGGTTATCATCGCTGTAACAACAATGTTTTGATCTGTCATAATTTGAGTTTAATTTAGCATCTGTGATTTTATGATTGTGATCAGTGATTGACTACAGCTAATCACATAGTTCTTGGTGCTGTGATTGGTCCTGCTATCATGTGATCGCTGTGGGCCAATCACAGCATAATACTAAGCGCAGCTGTTTTGAATAAAACCCATTCATAACAGTTGTTTACATTGTGATCATGTGATGGCATAGCAGTCGTCGGAGTGGTGTCAGGTGACGTACAGGTGCGTCGCCTGCCCGCAGTAAAACTAATATGGGTGGGCAGAAAGTGGTTACAGTGGTTGTATACTTCTGAAGTGAAAACTTAACAGAACATACACTTCTGTAGTGTTTACAGGGGTTAGATAAAAAATAGAAGCGCTAAATGATTTGCAGGTGTGAAAGTGACATGTTTCCGGTTGAAAGTGGAAATGATGTAACATTCTTTTTCTTCCGCTGTGTAATGAGACACCTAACTAAATATTTGGGAATGGTACAAAAAATGGCCACTTCCCCAGTCTATAACTGGCCTTCACAGCAAGGAGCACATGGAAGGGTGACACATGTCAAAAAAGAAAAATTCCCAGCTCTAACTGGCCAGCCTGCAAACAAACTGAATTAACCTGTCTAACAGTATGTGTTAAAAACGGGTTTAGTTAGCACACATTTGCAAACACATGTAAGCTACAGAGCCTCGTCACGGCATCCCGATATTCTGTAGTTCCTAACTCGTCAATGCCATAGTAGATGCACAATGCCATAGTAGAGGCACATGTATTTAATGGATAAACCAAAAGGGCAGGTGGACCTGAGGGAGCCCACCCTTCCTTAACCCCCCCTGGTGGTATTCCCGAGTGTAGCTCAGGGTTAACTTCCAGTACCAAAAGTGGTAACCCCGAGCTACACTCTGGATTACACTGCAGAGTTGCTCTGGGATTCCTCCAGCACTTACCTTGTCCTTTTGCTCCTGCGATGTCCCCGACCATCTCCTCCGGCCGATGCCGGCATCTGTCTTCCGGGTTCCAGTCCCTGCGTGCATCTGGACGTACGGGGGATGGAGCCGGCGGGAAATTTAAAAATGTTAAAAAGTGACATTCACTAAATACACTAAAATCATAGTATAACATTACTGTATCAAACCATTTCACATATATTTTGTCCCTACTGCTTTGTCCTGTGTCCTGCCTGCATCTTTACTGTTCTTTCTGCCTGGAAACTGAGAAAAGTCCATGGCGTCCGAAAAGTGTCCCTTTAGGTCAAAAGCAGTTTTAGACCGGCTAGAGAACAGCGATAGTAAATTAGAACCACTTGCAAAATTGAGTGATAATGATTCGTGGGAAAATTAGTCATCCGACACTGAAAATGATTTTGCGACTAAGCTCAGTGATGTGCGAATTTGGCTCTCTATTTCAAATTTCAGTGTTTTTGGTTTGATTACATTATTGAATTAAATTTATAATTTTTATGATTTATTATATAATAATTTATTATTTCGTGTTTCAAATTTTATCATATCCGGGATGTTTACTAGACTCTTGTTCAGATAGATTTCAGTGAGTTATTCCTAAGAATTACAGGCCTACAATAAAAAAAAACATATTTCCATGCAAAAAAATGTACCTCTTTGAGCACAGAAATACTGACATAATCAGACCGCCAGGGAGGTTAAAGATACAGGAGCGCACTGGGCACCCAGCATGTAGCATAATGGCAGCCAAGGTGTCCAGTGTGCCCCCTCACCAACAATTCAACAGTACAAAAAGTGACCACTGCCCCAGTCTATATAACTGGCCTTCACAGCATGGAGCACATGGAAGGGCGACGCATTTCACAAAGCAGAAAAGAAAAATTCCCAGCTCAACTTGTCAGCTAGCTTGCCTCCAAACCGAGTGATAATATATGTGAGAATAAATATGTGGGAAGACTCACTTTCCTCATTCACTGTGTGCTGCTAGTAATACAGAGTCATGCCAGAGCTTACTGAGCTTTAAAGAGGGCAGATTGTTGGTACGTACTTAGCTGTTGCCTCTGTGACTGAAGTTGCCAATTTGCTGTGCTGTGAGGATACAGTATCCAATGTTATGACGGTATATACAGTTTCTGGGAAAACCTATTTTAAGCATAAGTGCAGTCAACATAGTCAGCTGACTGAGAGTCAAAAGGGCATTGCGCAGGATTGTGACATGGAATAAGAAAGCAACTTCTGCAAAAGTGATTAGAGAGCTCAATCTCAGTCTTCACAGGATTGAGATTGAGCTCTGGAGTCACATTTACAGCAGCTGTTTTCTTATTCTGGGTCATGATTCTGCACAATGTCCTTTTGACTTTCTTGGTCAGTTGACCATGTCCACTGCGCTTATGCTTATCAGATGACAGTTTCCTGAAAACTGTATAGGCCCTCATAACCTTTGATACTGTACCTCATGACATGGCAAATTAGCAACGTCAATCATGCGGGCACCAACAACTTTGCCCTCTTTGAAGCTCAGTAAGCTCTGACATGACTCTGTATTACTAACAGCACATGCACTGAATAAGGGAGGCTTCTAGCTTTTAGCTAGGTGTCTCATCACACAGCAGAAGCAAAATAATGTTATACTTGCCTTTGCCTGCTGGAGCTAAGAAATAGCCTTTCTGAGTTTTTTTTTTTGTTTTTTTTTTTTTTTAACCACCTCCCACCCGCCATATAGTAATTTGACGGACGCAAGTTGGTTCTCTCGTTCTGGGAGGACATCATATGACGTCCTCCCATTCTAACCGCGCATGCCCAGCGATTGGCGGTGCGTTGTGTCCCTCGGTCATAGCGGATCACCGATCCACGGAAAGAGCCGAAGATGTCGGCTCAGTCGTGATCAGCTGTGTCCAATCACAGCGGATCACATGTAAACAGGGAAATGCCGGTTATCGGCATTTCTCTCCTCTCGAGCTGTCACGCTGACAGCTCAAGAGGAGAGCTGGTAGTCAGCATTCCGCGGAGGGGACATGTACACTGATCATCTGAGCACTGATGATCAGTGTGCCCTGATGATCATTGTAGCCCCAGCAGTGCCACCTGTCAGTGCCACATCAATGCCACATATCATTGCCCATCTAAGCTGCCTTTCCGTGTCACCCATCAGTGTTGCCTATCAGTGTTGCCTATCAGTGCTGCCTGTCAATGCCCATCAGTGCAGCCTATCAGTGCCCATCTCTGCAGCCTCATTAGTAAACATCAGTGAAGGAGAAAAATCATTTATTTACAAAATTTTCTAACAAACACTAAGAAAAAAACTTCTTTTTTTTTTTCAAAATGTTTTGTGGTTTTTGGTTTAAGAAAAAATAAAAAACCCAGAGTTGATTAAATACACCACCAAAATAAAGCTCTATCTGTCACAAAAAAAAAATGATAAAAATTTCATATGGGTACAGTGTTGCATGACCGCACAATTGTCATTCAAAGTGCAACAGCGCTGGAAATTGGCCTGGGCAGGAAGGGGGTGTAAGTGCCTGGTAGGTAAGTGGTTAAAGGTGTTTATTTTGCATTTATAAAACACAAACAACAGAACAAGGAAGAGACAAAATAATAAAATAGCCTTTGAGTTTTTAGAAGGATGTACAGAAGAGATAATTGCAGATAAAGATGTACAACTTGTGTGGGAGGATTTTTCATCTGTTTATCAACTGAGGCTTGTCACTTCAGAGGGTACTTTAAAGCGATAGTTAACTTTGAATTAGGCTTTAAGTATTTCAGCACATTTAGTATGCACTTTTCCAAGCCCAGGAGTAAGAATGCTCGTACATTATCCGATTTTCTTGTGTAATCTCCTTTAGATTTACCTTCCACTATGTAGTACAAGGGACTGCCTGATTGGATACAAATTGAAAGTGTTGTTTAGGTTTGACCTTGTTATATGGTTTTTGGTAAATCAAAAGGAAAATTGTACAAGAAAATTGGATAATATGTAGCCAATTTAAGGAGCGCGCAGGGACTAACAAACGTTAGGTCAATTTTAAGTATTGTGTGGCAAGAAATTGTATTCATTTAGGATTTTTTGAAGGTGATATTGCTGCAAACCTTATCAGATGTACTCAATGTTTAGTATGTTGTAACAAACTTATTTTGCTTTTTCTTTTTTTTTTTTTTTTTCCCCTTACTACAGACTCTGTTTCTGATAAATCATCCTGTACCATCCCTTCCACATCCTCTGCTTCTGGACTAAACCCTTCTTCTGCTCCCACTTCCTCTTCTACAGTCCCTGTGTCACCAGTGCCACAATCACCAATTCCTCCGATACTGCAGGACCCAAACCTCCTGCGACAGCTTCTCCCTGCCTTGCAAGCCACTCTGCAAATTAATAATTCTAATGTGGATATATCCAAAATTAATGAAGGTATGGGCAGCATTTTACTTGTGTTTTTTTTTTTTTTTTTTTTTGTTTTTTTTTTTTTGGGTTAACCGTATAGTAGTTTGTGGACAATTGGATACAATCGAGTATGATGAGTTTTAGCGCAAAAACCTGGAGAACAGTAACGTGTGAATTTGTTTTAAATGCTGTTCATTTTGCGAGAGTTGCATATGGACATGATCAGCTCTTTTACACGGACTTTGGAAGCTGTTGGTATGTGAGAATTAAAATGTAAAAGTGATCTTTGATACTGGTAACTGCTGACTGCTTCTTGCCAGTGCTGAAATTTTGCTTGGATTAGGGTGTAGTCTGCATCGCAGGCTTTGCAGGACCTAAGTAGTATGTACTTTAGGCCTAGACAGGGTCATTCATGCATGTTAGGAGACAGAGCCTCATTTTGGCCCCCCGTCTGTTTTGCAGGCTAAGGTTAGAGTTTAGTCATATCAGTTGAGATTTTTGAAAGCTTGAAGTAGCATTCAACATAAGATGTGTTTTTTTCTGTGCTTTTTATGATACGTTTTGGATTATTTTTTTTTTTTTTAATTTGGGTAATAGGTTTTCTTTTTAGTTAACTTGGATGTGAAACTGGAGGTCAGTGCGTGAGAAACTGCAGCATGCTGAATATTTTCAAGACACTGTAATGCATCGTTCTTATGAGAACAGGCCCCACTAACCTAAATTGAATTTTCAATTACAGTACAGTTTGGCAGCATTTCAAGGGCTGCATTGACATCACATCTGAGTCCTTATGTGAGCAGATGTAATCACATGTTCTGGCAGACATAGCACTGTATTCCAAATGGTAAAAATACTCTCTTCACTCTGCAGACCGTTTCAATGTACATGTCTGCCTCCAACCACATCTCCCTTTATTTGCTTTCCTGCAACTCCTGTTCTGACCTCAGTCAATGTGATAGTACAACCTCACATTATTGTACTTAATCCTGAACTAGTATTACATAAACCTGTTTACCTTTTCCACCATGGTAATCTCCAACTGTGTCAGCTCCAGTACTGTATTGTATCACATATGCTTTTATGCTTGCGGTTTGTCCCAGGTTATACACCCAATGTTCACTACCCTAAACTGGGTTAGTTTGTTCCACACGGTCTGTACCCATCACCTTAATTTTTGCCCAACTGCTTCCTACCCTGCCTCTTACTGCTTTGTGGAACATCACTCTGCACCCTCTCTCTACCCAGCAGTGAAGTCCATAATTTCATTATCACATACCCATCAGGAGTCTGAAAACCCACCACCAGCTAGCATCACAACTCATCCAGGGTCATCCCTTATGTCTTCTATTGGGGAGGGTTAGGTATTCTCCCCTAACCACAAGTACTCTTGAGAGGTGCTATTTCACTGTGCTGACCTCTTAGGTTGAGCCTTACTGTTCATACGTAGGGGTATATGAATTTTAAACTTCTTGGTCACTGTTTCAGGGGCAGTCCTCTCCTATTCCTTTGTATCTAGGAAGGAATCCTCTGCAGCCATATGTTGACTACAGGAGCAGCTCTCATGTGTTCTCATTAGCTTGGAACACCTAGGATGTTAGGAGGTACATTCTCCTTTTCATCCCCTTTTGAGGCATCTGAGGACGTTCCTCTAGGGAAGGCATCTCCAAACTTTCTAAACAAAGGGCCAGTTTACTGGCATTTGGGGGGAGCAGATTGGCCAGTGGGAGTGGAAAATGCCTGGTGTCAGTGTAAGTAAACAAAGGAAACCATGCCCTATCACTGATGTTAATAGGATGAACAGTGACCCATTGTATCTGTGGGAGGAATAGTGCCCCATCATTGGGGTCAGTGGGAGGAATAGTGCTCTATCATTGGTGTCGGTGGGAGGGATGCTGCCCCATCATTGATGGATGGATTGGTGCCACAAGGGCCAGGTAAAGGCAAACAAAGGTCCACATCTGGGCTGCAGTTTGGAGACCACTGCTCTAGTGGAAGAAGTGGAAACTGTTGAGTGTCAGGAATCCTGTGTTGATGAGTCCTCTCAGGAGGAATATTGGGGCAAAGGCTGTCTCAGACACAGAAGACTACGGTGGGCTTCCCGGCAGATGTTTTTTTGCACTATTCCTCACTTATCACTACAAGAATTTTTGTCCCCTAAAGTTGCTAATTTTTCTCCCCTAAAGGGTGATGCCATGCAGGTCTCCTGCAGACCTGTCAAAATATCTTCTTGCTGTATGGGATGTAGGAGCAATAGATATTCTGACAGGATTTTGCTGGTTTTGGATCTTTGTGACCACTTAAAATTCCCAAGTCCTTCCCAGTGCACCCTCACTTGCACAAAGTTATATATGCACATTGGATTTACTCAGAGAAGGTGTTTTCACCACCAAAATGGTTTGCTTACCAGTCAGTACAATTCTACAAAAAAAATTAGGCTCTTCGACTGTTGACCCAGGTGATTACTATTCAAATAAGACCTTTGCAATCCTAGTCTTTAGACTCCACAGATAAGAGATGAAGGCCCTTTTAATGTGTTATTCTCTCTGGTGGGAGTGGCTCTGCAGGCCGCGGTGGTTGCTGTGGGAGATTGCCAAGCCCTTACCCGCTTCTGACCTCCCTATAGCTGTGTGATTTTGCATTTCCGGGTAGGGGGCACACGTGCCTCCCTACCCGCACTGCCGTTGGCCGTACAGCTGCCGATCACCGGGTCCTGGCTTGAGATTCCCGACGGTCACCAAGGAACACGGACAGGGGAGAGGTCTGTTTGTAATCCCCTTCTACTGTCTCCAATCCATCTGCTGATAGAACAGAGACTTAAAGGAGAAGTTCACCTTTTTAGACAAAAATAATAAATGCACATTTTTTTGCAGGACAAAAATGTGCATTTATTTTGGTCTACAGGAGCCTGGAAAGCATTGCTCCAGGGTGATGCCATGCAGGTCTCCTGCAGACCTGTCAAAATATCTTCTTGCCGTATGGGATGTAGGAGCAATACATATTCTGACAGGAAGCTTCAATAAACTGCCACAGCGCTCTACAGAGCCGTGGTAATTCATTGAAAACTACAAGCTGACAGCTGCTAAGGCTGTCGGGACCTGCAGTTCATTCATTCATTCACGGAAGTTCGTGTTTGAATGATGCAGCCGAGTGGGCTGAGCCCCGCACGGCTGAGCTGTTTTCAGAATTGACAGATAGTACGGGGAAACTTCTCCCAGTACTATCTGTCAGAGGGAGGGGGGCTGTGGCTATGGGAACATGTTCCCAAAGGAAAACTTATCCTTTAAGGGCAAGCTGTACATATACAGTCTGGTGTGTATTGCTGGCGAGGTTCTTTTTCTTTTGGGGGGGGGGGGGGGGGGTGATCAGCACACACACCACCACTGTGGTGGACCCAGATATAGTGAATGCGGGGTCCTGTGTTTAGTTACGCTTTAAAGTCTGCGCCAAGCAGATGCTCCGTTTCAAGGATTCTAATCTGGAAGATGCTGCATTTGGCATCTTCATGCAAGACTTTGAGTCTCTAGTTTTCTCTAGTGCTCTGAGCTTTTCATGGGTAAGCACAAGTGAAGTACGCCTGGTCGGTGCATTCTTTGCTTTATCAAGGGGACTTCCTGGGATTAGTACATATCAAGGATGCTGTTTTACGGTTACTGCATATCCTGATTTCCCCCCCCCCCCCCCCCCCCCATCTTACCAACGGTTTCTTCACTTTGCGGTGGAAGATCACAACTATCATTTTTTGGTCTTGCCATTCAGCCTGTCTGTGGCTCCCAGGCTATTTACCAATGTTTTGGCTCTGGAATTATTGATCACTTGAGGGATTTGCATTTGGACACTACTGGAATTATTTGCTTCTAAGGGAGACATTAGATTAAAGAAAGATGTACAAGTCCTAGATGGCTTTAGTTGGATACTGCACCTTCCATCAGTCGGCCTTCGTTCTGAATCGGTGCTTTGAGTACTTTTGTTTAGTCTTAGATATATGGCTCAAGCAAAGATACTGCTTCCTCAGAAGAAATGCCTGTCCCTTCAACACAGTTGGTATCCCTAAGGATGTTGTAAGATCCCTCAATCTGGGCATGTATGAAAGTTCTGAGGAAGATGGTAGCTACCTTCTGCGCAGTCCTCTTTGCCCAGTGTCACTTTTGAGCTCTTCAGCTCAATACCCTGTCAGTATTATTATTATACAGTATTTATAAAGCGCCAATAGTTCACTCAGCACTCTACATTACAAAGGGGGACAGAACATGTGACAGAACAACAACAATACAATGCAAAACATGAGGGGATCGAGGGCCCTGCTCTTTCGAGCTTACAATCTAGGTTTGTCAGTATGGGACAAACAGGAGTGCTTGGATCTGCCATTGCGTCCCACTTTCAAGATCTCTGAAATGGTTAATTTCTACATAGATGATAGATACTGGAAAATTTTAAGGAACATGTTCATCAGAGGAGCGAAAGTTGCCTTTTAACATCCTGGAACCTTTGGATATTGAGCTAGCTGTCATACACTAGTCTGTCTTTGGGCTCTCCTTGCCAGGGTGTAGTCGGACAATGCCATAGTTGTGGCATGATATCAGACCACAAGAGGACGGGGACAATAAGTCAAACTGTTGATGCAGAAGTCAAACTGATCTTGGGTATAACTTCACACTTTGGCCCTTTTCGGTTTAAAAACTCTTGATGTAGAACATTGGCAGGCTGAGAATGGGCCCATAACACAGGGGAGTTCGCAGTGGTTAGCCTGTGCTGGAGATGTGGATCTCTTGGCAACCAGATTCAATTAAATGGACAGGATTGTGACCCAAACCAGGGATCCTGTAGGTCTTGCTGTAGATGCCCTAGTGAGAATTCAGATCACTGATCTATCCCTTCCCTCCACTCCTACTTGTCCTTTATTTGTTATGCAGGATAAAGGTGGAGGGTATTCTGGTGATTTTGTTCATGTTGGCTTCACCAAGAAGAGCGTGGTATGCAGATGTTGTAAATCTCTTGGCAGACATGCCTTGGGCTATTTCCAGATTGACCAAAGTTGCTATCACAAGGTTCCAATCTTCCTTCCTGTTTTACAGTTGCTGCCTTTGACAGCATGAAGGGATGGGGGTGTCTTGGATTCTGTAATTTTTGCCCTCTTCAGGGCAAGAAAGTCATCTTCCAGGAAGACTACCATCGTAAATAGAAGGCTTATTTCACCTCGTGTAAAGTTCATAGGTTTGATTTCCAACAGTATATCATGGAGTCATTTTGGCTTTTCTCCAGTCTGGTATGAAGATCTTTGATTTTAAGCACCATTGACAGACAAATCTTTGCTTTGGCTATGCTTTTTCAGAGACTTTTTGAGTTGCTTTCTTTGGTTAAAGCCTTTGTGGATAATGTCTCATTGTTCCTTTTGTACATCTGTCTGTGTGACCTTAAAGCTGATCTCCTTGTTTTAATGAAGGATAAATATGAGGAAAGCTGGTCCAAATGAATTGTTACCTTCACTATTAAATGTGCCCACTGTGTACGTTGTATATAAAACTGTATGTATCCTCAGCTATGTCCAGTGTACAGTGCTGTGTTCCTGCACTGGGGCAGGGGACTTTCCGCCCTACTCCCAGAACAAAATTGATTTGGGCTGTGTGCTGCTTGGCCATTCACAGGGAGCTTTGTATTCTATGAAAGAATACAAAGCTTTGTCCAATTGACTGAGATGGACAATGGACAATTTTTTTTTTTTTTTTCTCTCCAGGATTTTCAATAGTTTTTTGTTTAGCAAAAAATAAAAAAAACCCAGAAGTGATTAAATAACACCAAAAGAAAGCTCTGTCTCAAAAAAAGATATAATTTGATATGGGTATAGTGTTGTATGACCGGTCAATTGTCATTCAAAGTGTGACAGCGCTGAAAGCTGAAAAAATGGCCTGGGCAGGAAGGGGTATAAGTGCCCTCGAGGCAAGTGGTTAAAGCTGAACTTCAGGCTGCACCCGCCTTCCCTCTTCAACACTTTTTTTGCTAGTTATATTAAAAAAAAAAAAAAACATAAGTACTCATCCATGATGTGTCCGGTCTCGAGTCTTTCCTGCATTGGTGGAAGGTTCTCTTTTGGGTATCCACATCCCTGCTTGGGTGACTAGGACTTTTGCCAAAGAGGTTTTGCTCGACTCACTGGTAATGCCATATTTCTTGCATAAGCTGCTTACAATTTGATATCAAGATCTGTACAAACTTCTGGAAGAGGCAGAAATGTCTGCTTAAAGGTAAACGCTCAAGGTTTTTACCTTCATTAATTCTGTGCATCAAGGTAAAAATCCGGTACTTGTCTGGTAATTCACCGGATGGATATATATATATATATATATATATATGAATTTAACAGACAAGTACAAAAATCCTTCTGTGTGCAGCTCCCACCCCAGCCGGCTTCCCGGGGAACTCACCCTCCTCATTGGCTGAGACAGCAGTGGTAGAAATTGGCTTCTGCTGCTGTCAATCAGAGCTAGTGTGCCAATGAGGATGGGGGGGGGGGGGGGGGGGGGGCAAGCTGCAGCTCGGTGTGAATAAACATGCAGAGCATTGGCTTGGGAATGAGTCTGCTTGGGTGCCCCCATAGCAAGCTGCTTGCTCTGGGGGCATTAGGCAGAAGGTAAGGGCCAGAAGCACCATTGGGGGACCTGAAAAGGAGTATTGGAGCTTCTCTGTGCAAAACCGCTGAACAGAGCAGGTAAGTAAGACATGTTATTTAAAAAACAAAACATTTCTTTAATATCACATTAAGGCTTGACATGGAGAAAGAACTTCACTGCTATCTGTGTGTATATGTAGTGACAAACATCCATCATCGGATCGGAGTATTTCAAGCAATCTTCTGCTGTAAATGTTCAACAAAAGATCAGTTTGGTCAGTTTCAACTGGGTTTTCTACATGGACCAGTCAGTTTTTTTTTTTTGTTTTTTTTTATAAACAACTGAAGCATTTATTGGAGTAAATTTTTGAGAAATCAGATTTGATCAAAATAATTATTTTGAGTGGTTATATTCCCTTGTATAGAAATTAATGTGTGCTTTTCTTTGAAGTTGAAAAATAATGTCTTTTGGGCTTTTTTAATGTGTTTAGGCAAGGGGACTTGTGGGGATTCTGCATAGGGCATTTTGCAACATTTCATCTTTATAATAGGATACACTCAGCGGTCACTTTATTAGGTACACCTGTTTTGCTTGGTAACACAAATTGTTAATCCGCCAATCACATGGCAGCAACTCAGTTCATTTAGACATCTAGACAAGGTGAAGATGACTTGAAGTTCAAACCGAGCATTAGAATGGGGAAGAAAGGGGATTTAAGTGAATTTGAACCTGGCATGGTTGTTGACCGATGGACTTGTCTGAGTATTTCCAAAACTGCTGATCTGCTGGGATTTTCACGCACAACCATATATGCATGTGTGAGTCTGCGTCTGTGACTGTGATCTTGCTGCCATCTAGTGGATAGATTGTATGATGCTTCGTAACACTTTCCATAGCTCCAACATACAGTGAGTGATTTCATTGAGCTATGTTTGTTGTATTTTTTTCTAAAGTTCATTTGTTTGGTCTGTTGGTAACCTGTGTGTGAGACACTGGATAATAAGCGTAACCACTTTAAGACTGCATTATGTATATTTACCTTGCAGCTTTCAAGTGGTATACTGGGATGATGTCTGCAGCTACAGGCATCATCTCAGTATTGTTTTTTTAATTTGTTTTGTGTTTTTTTTTTTTTTTTTCTTTTAGAAGGCGATCAGTTTTTATGTAAAAGCGATTCTAGAGCCTAATTAGCCACTGGATTTCTTCTACAGGTGTGTCACCAGACCTAATGTCCACCCTGGAGGATTTCTCCTGTCTTCCTGTTGTGATGACAATCCAAAATTTGTGACTTTCTTTCACTTTTGGTGATTAATGATCAACAGGACTAAAAAAGATGGGGAATCTCCATAACAGGGGTACAAGACAGCAATAATAACCTAAGAGGTCCTTGTCCAAGCTATTACATTTTTTAAAGAATGTTTTGCTTTTAGTTCTACTTTAAGTGCTTTTGTTTGCTGTTCTTCATGACTGTCCATTGGGAGCTTGACACAGCCAAGGGAAGTCATCCTCCGCTCGGGTTTTGGCAATACTGCTTCCGGACCCTGCTGGACTGGACATTGCGGGAATAAGCCTTGGAAGTGACCTTTGGTCACTAGGTCCTGTGTGGGGTGCCTTCTAGACTCCATTCTGGTAAAAGGTAGCTGTGGAGGACTTCCAGGTTTAGAGCTCCTGGCATTTTCTCTGTGCTTGCCCTATCTCTGAATACTTGGTGAATAGACCAGTCAAGGTGATCACTGGAAGCTACTTCATTTACATAGGTCACTGGGCACCTGTTATTCCCTGTTCTGCTGGTGTTGCTGCAGAACGCTAGAACACAGAGCAAGCTATGACATGCGTCGGGCGAATGCACGCACTACCATGCAATGTCAAAACATCTTCCCGCTGCTGTTGCTTGCAAGAGCCATGTGGAACTTTTTTCTTTAATTCTGTCTTCTTGTCTATAGTAATTTTTGTGTCCAAAAATTACTATAGCCTGTTTGACCCTCGCCTCTTACCGGCTGTCCAGGTTTTGACAGTACTTGAAGCCTTACCACTTACCTTCAGCCTTCATGTTGCCTTACTGCCATGTTTAGATGTGGAAGAGACAGTCCTTTTGTATTGGGGGGCTCTTTTTTCTACCAGTGGTTCTCTGCTTTTGGAATCAATCTTGTCCTTGGTTTCTCTTTAGCTTTTTCCAGTGTGGTTGCATCTGCCCTCTTAGCTGCATCCTCTTTTCTATCTGATTTGCCTGTGGCCCTAATTGCTTCCAAGCGATCAGCCATAGAGACTGATTCTTTTGCTAGTAGCTCCTCATCTCTCACATGTTTAATGTCTGTTCATATGTGCGGTATATTTTGGCAGTGTCAGACTGAAGAGATTAGATCATCTTTTAGGTTCCCATTGAGTGATATTCACTCTTTCTCCTAGTGACCATTTTCACCTGAAAGTGAAAGAAAATCAGTCCTTCAGTGGGGACACTAGTTCTGGTGACTGCCGTGGATTTCTGTGTTTGTTTTTTTTTTTTTTCCTTACATTGTCCAAAATGGGACAAAAATTGCCTTTTAGTTCTTCTGTAAGTAGTTGAATTTAATTTAAATGTTACATTGTTTTTATTTTTCTAGGTATAGTTTGCAGTTATAGATGTAAATGGGGCTGTCACGTTTGCAAATGACATGTCTTCTTCCTGTTTAGTTACATTTCACTGTGGCTGAGCCAAAAACTTTGAAAATCTTCATTTTGGATCTTCTTAGCTAGATCAGTGATTACAGTGGAAATACAGAGCTCCATGTAGTAGTTTACAAATCCTTTTTATTATAGTTGCAAAAAAATGGATGAACAACCATATAAAAGGAACTTCAAGACTTACAGTAAATCGTGCAATAATGGTTCCTATATATTCACTCAGTATAACTGATGAGAGCTGTAAATTCTATTTAGTTTGATTTCTTTGACTAAAGTCATCTATGTACCTGTGTGTGAGCCTTTTGATGTGTGCGCACAGAGAGGTCAACTGATAAAACAAAGCTTGATTCAACTTGTTCAGTAAAATAGTGCTGGAAGTACCACAGCAATCTCTTGTAGTGATCTGGTTTTTAATAAGGTCAATAGTTATGACTTTTATTACTCTAAACCTCTAACAAGTATGTTTTTTCAGTTCTTACAGCTGCTGTGACACAAGCCTCTTTACAGTCAATAATTCACAAGATCATCACCGCTGGGCCCTCTGCTTTCAACATTACTTCTCTAATCTCCCAAGTTGCACAGCTGTCAGCACAAGGTGAGGTTTCCCTGCCAAGCACTGTAATGTGTTACTAGTAAATAACTCCAGATATAAGGTTTTATGCAAAGAGCCTTTAACCCTTTTACTGCCACGCATGGATCTGACATCGGGGGGGTTTTACAAACACTACTGCTGGCTGCAGCCAGTGGGTGTATTAATCGGACAAGCTGGCTGTTAGATGGAAGCGATGCAGTAGCTGGGCAGCTGCCCGATTGCTTCCAAACAGCCCCAGTGACGGCTGACCTCATTTTTATATTTTACCAAAAAATTGGTTAATTTTATTGTTTGTGCCTAACTTTATTTTGGTTTATATTTTTCTGAAATTTTGCTTTTCCTAGACTGTTGGGCTATCGTGTAACATGAGATTGAAATTACCACTGTATGGTGTTTTATGCAATCTTCATGCCTAAAACGATTTTTAATTATGTCTTTTAAAAAAAGCAAATACTCCTGGCAGTGGAAGGGTCAAAGGGCAGTTTCATGTTTGTGTGTGTGCGATGGCATATGCTTAGTGTTATTACTAACTTACAGCTAGCTTGCTGTCTCTTCTCCTTGGTGTCTGGTAGGCCCAGTGAGTTGCCTTATGAAATTCCCACTGACAAATTTGCCAATCATCTATGGTTGCACTGGATGTAATGCATTCAGCAACTGTGTTACTGCATTCATTCCTGCTGAAAAACTCTCACCCTTTTATGCAAATCATGCAGGATTTCACTGATTCCCAGTGAAAGAGAACACAGGGAAAAATGGGTTTTCATGCATCTCCCAAGATTTCCAAATGTATTATGGTGATGTAGTTTGCAGACAATGTGTAGTTTTATCTAAAAATCTCGGCCCAGGAAAGCATGATGATGCTTCCGTGAAGACATGCAAGCAATGCATATGCCTGCCTAACATACACTGTTACTTTGCAGGCATATGTTAAAACCCCCACCTTTTTTTTTGTTTTTGTTTTTTTTTTTCAATTTGCCCAAGGGAGGCTTCTTTACATCTAATGCAAAGTGTCCCTTGTGCTGGTGCCTGTTGTCATAGTGGATATTAAAGTCATCTGCCCCCCTCCCATAATGTAATCTTTGGGTACTGTGGTGGTTAATCGAGCTGAGGACTTGTCACAAGTACTTCCATTACATTAAATGACAAACGTTGCATGTACTGGTTATCCTAGTTGACATCTTCACTGCTCTTCCTAGGCTTAGGCTCTAACAAACGTGAAATTGCCCTTTATTTCTTCATAGAAATAAAGAGCTGCAAGTTTGCAAAAACAAGATATTTAATTTGAAGGTGGTATAGTGAAGGCTATATTTCCAGTACACAGCCGAGTTGTGTCCACTATTGCCATAAAATTAAATTTATGAAAATGTCCGTTAACAGATCAAATTGCTTTGCGTCCGTAATAGTTAGGTGCATATATATATTTGAACACAGGCGCAATTTTAGTTTTTTTCAGGTATTTACCAAAATATATTCAAGCTATAGTTATATAATGGATATGGGCTGAAAGTGCACACTCAGGTTTAATTTGAGGGTACGTACATCCAAATTGGTTGAAGGGTTTAGGAATTACAGCTCTTAAGAGTAGTCATCACCCCTTTTTCAAGGGACCAAAAGTAATTGGACAATTGAATTAAAGCTGTTTAATGGCCAGGTGTGGGCTACTCCTTCGTTATTTCTTCATCAATTAAGCAGGTAAAAGGTCTGGAGTTGATTTTAAATGTGGTATTTGCATTTGGAATCTATTGCTGTGAACCTACATCATGCGTTCAAAGGAGCTGTCCATGCAAGTGAAACAGGCCATTGTAAGGCTTCAAAAACTAAAATCCATCAGAGAGATAACAGCAACATTAGGAGTTGCCAAATCAACAGTTTGGTACATTCTGAGGAAAGAAGAATGCTCTGGAGAGCTCAGCAACATAAAAAGGAATGGATGTCCATGGAAGACAACAGTGGTGGATGATCGCAGGAACCTCTCTATGGTAAAGAAAAACTCATTCACAACATCCAGACAAGTGAAGGACACTCTCCAGGAGGTTGTTGTATCATTGTCAAAGTCTACAATCAAGAGAAGACTTCACGAGAGCAAATACAGAGGGTTCACCACAAGGAGCAAACCATTCATAAACCTGAAGAATAGAAAAGCCAGATTTGACTTCTTTGCATGGATGAAACTAAGATTGATCTGTACCAGAATGACGGGAAGAAAACAAAATTGTGGAGAAGGCTTGTTACTAGTGGTGCACTGAAATGAAAATTCTGGTGCCAAAACAGATACCAAAAAGTCAGAATGCATATGGCCGAAAACAGAAATGTCTGCATATGTGGGGGTGGGGAGGCTCTAATTTTTTTTTTTTTTGTAATTTTTTTTTTTTTTTTTTTTTAACTTATGGTTTTATTGCTATCACATAGGGGACCAATAGCATATGAGTGACAGGTCCTCTTTGTAGGGGGCAGTGTGTGCAAGGAGGGGGCAGGAGAGGAGCAGTCTACACAGTGAGGGAGCAGTGTATACAGAGAGGCTCTCTCACTGGTTGTCACTATATGTCAGTTCCGGTTTTTAAATACATTTGCTGGCTTTTTAGCTGTCACTTTCCCTGGAGTTAAAAGAAAACTGTTTCTTTTATCTGGGGGAAAAAAAAAAAAAACTAAAAGGATACGTTTTCTTTTAACTCTGTGAAAAAAACTAAAAGGAAACTTTGTTTCTTTTAGCTGGGGGGGAAAGTGATGGCTAATTCTGTGAGCTACAGTGAAGAAAAAAAAAAGCCGGTAAGTACATTAAAAAACCGTCACGGACATAGTGACAGGCTGTCACTATATACACTGCTCTCCTGCCTTTTTCAGCTGACCCACCCTCACATCTGCAGTACCACACCCAGTCTCCTGTATTGGCTCCTGTATCGGCTAAATTTTTCCTATCGGCAAAATGCAGATAGGGCTCATTTCGACCAATATGTTTTGGTGGCTGAAATTTTGGTGGATCGCTACTTGTAACAGCTCATGATCCAAAGCACACAACGTCATCTGTAAAACATGGTGGAGGCAGTGTGGTGGCATGGGCATGCATGGCCTGCAGTAGCACTGGGTCGTTTGTGTTTATTGATGATGTGACAGAAGACAGACGCAACCAGATGAATTCTGCAGTGTTATACTGTCAGCCCAGATTCAGCCAAATGCAGCAAAGTTGATTGGATGGAGCTTCACAGTACAGATGGACAATGATCCAAAACACTGCAAAAGCAACCCAGGAGCCTTTGAAGGAAAAATGGAATATTCTGCAATGGCCCAGTCAATCATTTGATCTCAACCCAATTGAGCATGCATTTTACTTGCTGAAGGCAAAACTAAAGGCTGAAAGACCCACAAACAACTGAAGAGAGCTGCAGTTAGAGCCTGGCAAAGCATTAGAATGGAGGAAACCGTTTTGGTCTTTGGTAATGTCCATGAACTCCAGACTTCAGGCAGTCATTTCCAGTAAAGGATTCTCTACAAAATATTAAAAATGAACATATGTATGGTTATATTCATATATCCAATTACATTTGCGCCCCTGAAAATGGAGGGACTGTATATAAAAATGGTTTTTGTACTTGATATTTATGTTCAACCCCTTGAATTAAAGCTGAAAGTCTGCACTTCAGATCCATTTGGATTATTCCGGTTTAATTTATTGTGGCATTCAGAGCCAAAAGTATGAAAATTGTGCCTGTGTCCAAATATATATATGGACCTAACTGTATATCAATGCCAAGCTTCTGCACAAGGTTGAGCTCCTCTAGCTACACACCGCTCTAACAGCTATTCATATTTGAAACTTTTTGAAGTAAATGTGTGCTTTGTAGGATGGGTGTTGCACCGGTTTGCTTCCCTGACTAAAGCAGTAGTAAAATAGTAAACCCCAACCCCCCCCCCCCCCCAGCATATTTTGAAAAGTTTTTTAAAGATATTAAAGTTTTATCAATTTTCCATACCATACAAGACTCGCAAGGGTCTCACGGGTCACATTGAACAAGGAACAGTGCTATAGTACCTTCAAGAACAGGGTTATGCACATTAGACACATTGAGATTCTGAAACCAATGTTTAAACATCTGGATCTAGAGAGGTCAAGGTAAGGGGACTAGCAACCACCTGCCCCAGAGTTTTTCAAATATTCTTTTTCCTTCAGCCTGTATAAAGGAAGGGCATCATTAATAAGTGTAAGTCATTGTGATATAGTTGGCTATGCGGGCCCCTTCCAAGTAAGCAAGATCACCTTTTTGGCATAGAAATATAGTATACTCAGCAACCGCTTCTCATATTTAGAGAGGCTTAAATCCCCAAAAATTCCCAGAAGACAAGTTTTAGGATCTAAAACATTCAGGAGGCCTAACACAGAAGAAATAAATGCTCCCTCATCCTTCCAAAACAATTGTACCAAAAGACATGACCAGAAGCAGTGCAAGAATTCTGCACCCTGGCTACATGTGAGTGATGAGAGTTTCAAATGTATAATTCTGTCTATGGAGGCGATAACAGATGTTTTAAAAGTATCACTAAATTAAGACCAGTCCGAGTCAATAAATTCTTTATCTAGGGAGATCCATCTAGCTTGCGTAGTGGTGAATCTAGGGTTAGAATCAGTCATAAGCATAGAGTAGTACTCAGGTTTAGTAGTATGTGGGCGACAGAATTGTTTTTCCATGGGAGACATTTGAACAGGGTTATCTAATGATCCAAATTGTGCTCTAATAGCATGTTACGGCTGATAGTAATGCATATTATGAAACTTGCCTTCAGACGAAGCCCTCCAGCAGCGCGCTGTTACCACTGACAGGGTTTCTATTGTTACTCAGTCTTCCTTCTGAGTTTCTAGGCTCTGGCAAAAGAAAAGGTGGTAAAGCACCTGATTTTCTCCTTTTGTGTGTGCTGTTCTGGGAGTGTACACCGAGTTCCAAATTATTATGCAAATGATATTTTTCTCATTTACCTAAATTATTATTATTATTATACAGTATTTATAAAGCGCCAATAGTTCGCTCAGCGCTGTACATTACAAAGGGGGGCAGAACATGTGACAGAACAATACTACCAATACAATGCAAAACATGAGGGGATCGAGGGCCCTGCTCTTTTGTGTTTTACAATCTACCTAAATGATGTAAATAACAGTCAACATAATTCTCATGTTATCAACTATTAAGAGTACATTTCAAATTTTATAGAACAAACCACCTAATAACAGTATTTTTTTTAAACATAAAACACTTCCAATGCACTGTTCCAAATTATTCCGCACAGGAAGTTTCAAAACACTTTATAGGTTGTAAAGAACTGAAAATTGTCATTTGTTGTGTTTGCAGCATATTTACTGAAATCAAAAGCTATTTCAATCAAACTTTTAACAACATTTTAACTTTTTAAACATTTTAACAGGTAACGTTACATTGTAACATAGGACACCTTATTTGATAGCAGCTTCACAAGTCTTGCATCCATTGAACGTGTGAGTTTTTGCACAGTTTCTGCTTGAAACTGTTTGCAAGATGTCAGAATAGCCCCCCAGAGCTGCTGTTTGGATGTAAACTTCCTCCCACCCTCATAGATCTTTTGCTTGAGGATGCTCCAAAGGTTCTCAATAGGATTGAGGTCAGGGGAGGATGGAGGCCACACCATGACTTTCTCTCCTTTTATCCCCATAGCAGCCATTGATGCAGAGGTATTCTTTGCAGCATGAGATGGTGCATTGTCATGCATGAAGATTTTATTACGGAAAGCATAGTTTTTCCTTCTGTACCAGGGAAGAAAGTGGTCAGTCATAAACTCCACATACTTTGCAGAGGTCATCTTTACACCTTTGGGGACCCTAAAGGGGCCGACCAGCTCTGTTCCCATGATTCCGGCCCAAAACATGACTCCACCACTGCCTTGCTGACGTCGCAGCCTTGTTGGAACAGGGTGGCCGTCCACCAACCATCCACTACTCTATCCATCTGGACTATCCAGGGTTGCACGGCACTCATCAGTGAACAGGACTGTTTGAAAATTAGTCTTCATGTATTTTTCTGCCCCATGCAGCCGTTTCTGCTTGTGAGCATTGGTTATTGGTGGCCGAATAGAAGGTTTATGCACAGTTGCAAGACTCTGGAGGACTCTACACCTTGATGTCCGTGGGACTCCAGAGGTACCAGCAGCTTAAAATATATGTTTGCTGCTATGTAATGGTATTTTAGCAGCTGCTTTCTTGATCCAATGCATGGATCTGGCAGAAATCTTCCTCAATGTGCCTTTATCTGCACAAACCCGTCTGTGCTCTGATTCAGCCACAAATCTCTTAATAGTGCGATGATCACGCTTATGTTTTCGTGAAATATCTAATGTTTTCATACCTCGTCCAAGGCATTGAATTATTCCCCTCTTTTCGGCAGCAGAGAGATCTTTTTTCTTCCCCATATTGCTTGAAAAGGGTGCTCTGCTTAATAATGTGGAACACCCTCCTTTAGTAGTTTTTCCTTAAATTGGGCTCACCGGCCAATCTAATTATCACAGGTGTCCGAGATTGTTTTCAGTGATCTAAAGAGCCCTGACACACAATGCCATCCATGAGCTAAACTGAAAAACAAAATATTTCATCTTTGTGGCACTTAAATAGAATTTGCATAATAATTTGGAACGCGGTGTAAAGCATAGAAGGCAGCACCAGAATTTGTTTTTTTTTTTTTTTTTTTTGTGGCAGCACACTCCCCACTTTCCTTTTTGAATATGCTGTATGCAAAATAGTGATAAAGTTGCTGTGGAGGGAGACATTAAATTAAACCTGCCTATTTGCAAGCACGGGTCTATTTTAATGCCCCGCCCCAGAACTGTGCTGCGCCACTGTTCATTGAGATGCCAAAGAACAAAGGCTTATGGACAGGGTGGATTTGATTTAAATCACTAGTCAGTAAGGCTTGATTTAAATCCTAGTTTTCTACATAGACTAATTCTTGCTGGTTTAACTTTAATATGCAAGTAGATGAAGATTTTTAGAATAACTTTTCATATTAGTTTTTTTTTATCCCCAGTTTAATAGGTTAATCAGTCATATTTGGACAACTTTTCTGTTGTACTTAGGAAGGAGAAAAATAATCATTACCTTACCCAAATTTGACAGTCACCTGCTCCCACTTCCAGGGCCTAGGCCAGGGGTAGGCAACCCGCGGCTCTCTAGCTGTTGTGGAACTACATTTCCCATGAGGCATGGCAAAGATTACAAAACTGACAGTTACAGCTATGACTTGCAGAGGCATGATGGAATTTGTAGTCCTGCGGCTCTCAGGTTGCCTACCCTTGGCCTAGGCGATCGGAAGCGGAAGGTGTCCTCCCTCCCTGTAGTCTTTTGGGACATGTGACAGGTCCCAGAAGACTACAGGACCATTCATGAAGCGCAGCGCTACTTGCGCATGCACAGTGGGTACCCGGCTGTGAAGCTGCAAGCTATCACAGCCGGGGGCCCATAGTGAAGATGCCGGCCTCCTGCAATACAGGACGGCTGGTGAAACGGGCTGCGGGGGACACACTGTGGGACCGAGGGACAAGTAAGTGGCTGTGTTTTAAAAAGCCAGCCGCTACAGTTTTTGTAGCTGCTGACTTTTATTTTTTGACAGTGTGAGTGGAACTCCGCTTTTATAATCCTTGTGCTGCTAGCATTAGTAAATAAACAGAAAAGTATATCCTGTTTGCTTGTTTGTTTTTTTTTTTTTTTTTTTTGCATTCCTTCATTTACTTCCTAGTTTCCATGCCTAGTCAAATGATGTCCTACATCTCAGGGTTTTCAGGAGAGGAGGGAAGGTTCTCAGCTCAGCCAATGCCTTAGCTAAGGACCAATTACAGGAAGTAACTGCTACATAAATCACCTGCCCTGACTCAAGGTGGTCACTACCAAAAATGCTAGGGGGTATTTTTCATAGTAATTTCTCAGCAAAATAAAGCGTGAGACATGGATGGAGGAGTTAGTCTTTGAATTTTATTAATGTATTGTATAGCACTTTTGGTTCATGGTACTCAGATGCAGTGCAGCACATCAACTTTAAAGTGTATCTATACTCGAAACCTTTTTTTTTTTTTTTTTTTTTTTTTCCCCCGTTTCCAGCTGTGTTCTCCCCTCTACCTGCTCTCACAGGACACAGAGGAAGCAGTGAGAGCCATTGGCTCTTGCTGCTGTCAATCAGATCCTGTGAGGAGGGATCGGGGGGATGAGATGCACTGTTTGTCTATGAACACACCCAAATCAACTTGAGAATGTGCCCATGCGAGTGCTGCAATGTTGTCTGACTTTGTATAGGGGTACTTGTAGAGGAGGAGCAGAGAGCGGTGGCAGGGACCCCAGAGGAGGAGGTAAGAGACAGATAAGTATAAACATAGTTATAGTAGGGAAAAATAAGCCTTTATAACCACTTTAACTTTTTAGGTTGCATTTGCCAATAAAAACACAAGATTTTCTTCTTTACAAAATGTTTCTTGTTTCAGCGACACAATCAAATCAGTCACCCATGTCTTTGACATCTGATGCCTCATCGCCAAGGTCATATGTGTCCCCCCGAATCAGCACGCCGCAGACGAATGCTGTTCCCCATAAACCCTTGTTAAACACCACACCTGTATCTTCACAGCCAAAGGTATAAACCTCTCTGATTTTTCACTCCCACTTTGTCTAGAAATGCACTGTTTATTCAGTCTTGGTAAATAAACCTGGTTTTCATTTTAGGCCAATACTTCTATTGGTTCTAAACAAGGACCATCTACACAGACAGTACCACAGCAGTCAGTGACTGCAGAAAAATCCCAAGGACATGAACCTGCCTCCCCCCGAAACCTTCAGCGTCAAAGGCAAGTACTGTGTGGAGATTCTGTTGGTTCTCTTCTTTGCAATCAAAAATTAAAGCCTTGTTTCTAGAACATTTAAATGATTTTATGTACTGAATTTCATTAATTCTGTTGTCTGAAAAAATCAACTACACCTAAAACATGATTGCTGGCAAGTTGAATCATATGCTGTTTTTTTTACATCTCATGGACTCCATTACTGTGGTATCTCTGGCAGTAATCTTGGCCAGCCTGATGACAAACAAAAAATTAAAGTACATCTGTCAGGAGAGGCTTCCATTGCTGACATCTCCAGAAATTCTGAAAATGCTCGGTGACTGTCATGCTGATACTATGGGTTCCATACTTTTCTGAGTTTTTTAAAAAAAAGTTAGGACATACTTTTATTTGGTGCGTAGGTCATTAGAATCTGGGACTCAGACACATTGACTTCAGAAATGACCAGGCAACTGTAATTTTCAGGAGCTAAAAATGGCATGCTTTTAGGACAGGTCAGGGGAACAAACCATTTTTGAGAAATCTGGCCATTATTTTTTGAGATGAAGCCAGTGGTTGATTAAATGCCAATTCAAATCTGATTTATCATAAACAATTGGTCTTTAACCATTTCCATACCGGGCACTTTAATTACCCCCTTCCTGCCCAGGCCGTTTTTCAGGTCTCAGCGCTTTCACACTTTGAATGACAATTGCGCGGTCATACAACATTGTACCCAAACTAAAATTTTATCATTTTCTTCACACAACTAGAGCTTTCTTTTGGTGGTATTTAATCATTGCTGGGGTTTTTTTTTTTCTTTATTTTTTGCTAAATTAACAAAATAAGAATGAAAATTTTGAAAAAAACACGTTTTTCTTTGTTTCTGTTATAAAAGTTTGCAAATAAATAAATGTTCTTCATAAATTTAGGCCAAGATGTATTCTACTACATGTCTTTGGTGAAAATAACCCAAATTAGGATGTATTTTTTAGTTTGTAGAAAAGTTATAGAGTTCACAAACTATGGTATAGATCTGAATATTGATCAATCCTGAAGTACTGACGGCCAATCTAATTTCCTGAGGTCCAAGAATGTCAGAACAGTACAGATATCCCCCAAATGACCCCTTTTTGCAAAGTAGACAGTCCGACATACTTCATAACAGGCATGGCAAGTTTTTTTAAGTTGTAGTTTTTTTGTCAATTTTTTGGAAAATGAAAAAATGAAGAAAATTATTTTCACTATTTTTTTACATACTGTCCCCAGTGCAGTACAGCGTCATCATATAACTGCCATGGCGGTGATCAGGGACACTGACTGGTGACAGTACAGAAAAAAAACATTTTTAATTTTTCTTTATTATTTTTAATTTTTTATTACTACTTTTTTTTTTTTAAGATTTTTTTTCATATTTCACTATGACCAAAGTAGTACAATGTTACAATTTTTTTTTTTTTTTGTGCTTAGCTGTGATTTGGCCACGACTAATCACATGACACAGGTGGGCTCTGATTGGCCCAGCTTGTGCATGTGATCGCAGTGACTATTCACAGCTAGACACACTTGTTTACAATGGATGGCATGAAAGGAAGCCATCCATTGTATACAACTGTCATGTGACCTGCTGTGATTGGTCACAGCAGGTCACATGGTACTAGCAACGGGGCTGGTACACAGATCTGTCATCGGCCATGTCTGAGGTACACGGCCGGAGACAGAACGCGACGCAGAGCGGCCCTGCGGGCAGGCGCACTGCACATGTCTGAAAGGACGCCATATGGCATCCACCCGGAGGGACGAGCTGTTCACCCGGCCGCCATCTGGCTATAAGTGATTGGTCACAGCAGGTCACATGGTACCGGCAAAGGGGACGGTACTCAGATCTGTCATCGGCCGTGTCTGAGGTACACAGCCGGTGACAGATTGCGCCCCTGCGCGACTCTGCAGACGCGCAAACTGCACATGTCCGGGAGGACGCCATATGGCATCCACCCGGAACGCTGAGGAATTTTGCTGGCCGCCATCTGGCCATAGGCCGGGCGGGTAAAGGTTAAAGTATAAGTCCACCTTTCTAAAGAAAAAGATGTCACTTTTTTTTGCAGGAAAAAGTGAGTTTATTCATTTTTGTTTTTTTTTTTTTTTTTTTTTTACGAGCCTGTAAAGTATTACACCCACGATCAGCAGGTCATGGGTGCAATCTCAGGCTCTTGCATAGGTATGGACAGACAGTTACACAATGACAGGAAGACTCAATGAACTACCGGCCTAGAGCGTTCACTAGTGTCCTGGTAGTTACCTAAAGGCCGTCAGCCACCCAGGCTGTCTGTACTTGTAGTTCATTCATTCACAGATCTCTGTGACTGAATGACTTGGCTGCGTGGTGAAATTATGACAGCGGGTGCAAGGAGACGATCCCTGGCCCGCTGTCACATTGAGGCCCCCCGATTGGTAAGAGGCTGCAAGAGTGGCAAACATGCTGCCTGTGCCATCCTCAAAATGGGTGGCACATGTAACATTTTCCCAAATGTGAACTTATCCTTTACCCTTTTCCTGCCCAGCCTTGGCATCCCTTTGTTAATTGGGTCTTAACGCCCTGGGGGTGACCACTGTGAGTGGCTGTCTGTGTTCATGTGATCGGAAACTGGACTCACCAGCTGCTGATCATTAATAGGGATCGAAAGATATCTTTCCAAGCTGTGTCTCTTTGCTGAAAGTGTGCGCACTCAGCTCAGAAATAGCAGTGATGCATATGTGCAGCATGTGGCCGTTAAAGCCCACCTTTTTGCCACCACACTTATTTGCTGGCAAAAGATTTGGACACTAGGTGGTGCTACAAGCACCTGAAAAAAGTACTAAGTACACAGGCTATATGTAGTAAGTCTTTCTGTCCCACCACAGCCCACCTTTCTTAATCTGTCAAAATCATCAGAAGGTGCTGTGTACTAAAAATAAAAAAAAAAAAAGGAACTGTAAGTCATGGTTCACACTGGTGCGACTTATCATGCAGTTTGACAATTTCAAATCACATGACAAGTCGCACCCTATTGTCCACAATGAAACTGTTCAAATCGGTGCAGCTCCGATTTGGAAAGTAGTTCCTGCACTGCTTTTTGCAATTTCAAGGGTGACTTGCATAGACATACACTATATTGCCAAAAGCTTTGTGACACCTGCCCTTACACACACATGATCTTTAATGGTCCCCCCAGTCTCAGTCTGTAGGGTTCAATATTGGGTTGGCCCACCCTTTGCAGCTATAACAGCTTCAACTCTTCTGGGAAGGCTGCCCACAATGTTTAGGCGTGTTTCTATGAGAATATTTGACCATTCTTCCAGAAGTGCATTTGTGTGGTCAGGCACTGATGTCAAACGAGAAGGCCTCGCATTTTCTGCTCTAATTCATCCCAAAGGTGTTTTATTTGGGTTGAGGTCAGGACTCTGTGCAGGCCAGTCTAGTTCCTCCACCCCAAACTCTCTCATCCATGTCTTTATGGACCTTGCTTTGTGCACTGGTGTGCAGTCATGTTGGAACAGGAAGGGGCCATCCCCAAACTGTTCCCACAAAGTGGGGGCATGAAATTGTCCAAAATGTCTTGATATGCTGACGCCTTAAGAGTTCCCTTCACTGGAACTAAGGGACCAAGGCCAACCCCTGAAAAACAACCCCACACCATAATCCCCTCTCCACCAAACTTTACACTTGTCACAATGCAGTCAGGCAAGTACAGTTCTCCTGGCATCCGCCAAACCCAGACACGTCCATTGGATTGCTAGACAGAGAAGTGTGATTGGTCTCTCCAGAGAACACATCTCTACTGCTCTATAGTCCAGTGGCAGCGTGCTTTACACCACTGCATCCGACGCTTTGCATTGCTCTTGGTGATGTAAATTGTGCTAATCTGAAGGCCACATGAAATTTGGAGGTCATTAGATATTGACTCTGCAGACAGTTGGTGACATTTGTGCACATGCGCTGACTCCACTCTTTTATTTTTTGTGGCTGAGTTACTGTTGTCCCCAGTATCTTCCACTTTGTTATAATACCACTAACAGTTCACTGTGGAATATTTAGTAGCAAGGAAATTTCACGGTTGGACTTATTGCACAGGTGGCAATGGTATCATTCACTGAGCTCCTGAGAGCGACCCATTCTTTCACAAATGTTTGTAGAAGCAGTCTGCATGCCTAGGGGCTTGATTTTATACACCTGTGGCCATGGAGGTGATTGGAACACCTGAATCCAATGATTTGAAGGGGTGTCCCAATACTTTTGGCAATATAGTGTATATGCCATCCATTTCCAATCTGATTGGACACAGCAGGAGATCAGTCCAGGATTCCCTGCTGAAACAGAAGGGAGGGTGCCTGTGTGGAAGTAGCCTTAGAGTTTTCACAGGGTTAAAGTCAGATCGTCACATGACAATGGGTACTAGGCCAAAACATTGCATCAAAGAAGGAGGCCATATCCTTCACCATATCCTGAAATACCAGGCTGAAAGCGACCCATTTTTTTACAAGCGTTTATAGAAGCAGTCTGCATGCCTAGGTGCTTGATTTTATACACCTGTGGCCATGGAGGTGATTGGAACGCCTGAATCCAATGATTTGGAGGGGTGTCCCAATACTTATGGTAATATAGGGTATGTGCAAACTCCCTCAGTTCTTAGATCCAAAAAGTGTGGTCATTTTCAGGTTACGTTTGACAGTGCTAGTGCAGAATGTGTCCACTCCTTTTTTATTTTTGTTTTGTTTTAGGATGCATTGGCTTTCAGTTCCTCACCAGAATTCTGGAGAGCGAGGCCTTGTTCACACCATGGTGCAGGCAGAGATGTGAGGTTTTCTTCACACGTTCTGCAAGGGCGAGCAAAGAAAACAATTGCTCTCTGTGCCTTGCTTACAACAACTGGTATCAAACGTGGATTTTTTTTCTGTGCACGAATCTGCAAGGTGTATAAACCTCATTGAAATGCACATGAAAACTGATGTAAACTCGTGTCTCTGCAAGTGAAAATCTGCACTTTTTTTTTTTTCCCATCAACTTTTCTGCGCATATGGTGTGAACAAGGCCTACGTTTTGCACAGCATCAATGCTTGCTTTGCCTCACCATCTCTGTATTGAGTTCTTCATCGTAACATACCTTTGGGTGTCTGGTGAGTGGCTTGGCAGCAGCGTGTCCAGCCCTAAAGTAGTCCCACAAGGTTAATGCTCTGGGTGGGTTTGTGGTTGTGCCACAGTCCATGAGTGCAAGAAGCAAGGATTGTCTGCTCTCTGTATTGTATGAAAAATGTACCACCACTGAATCTACGTTTTTTCAGATTTCAAAAGGCTTGTTTGCTGAGCATTACAAAAACCACTAACATTCTGACATGTTTTTTTTCTCCATAATAAATGACTTGATCGTAGGGATCCCAATGACTAAGCCCGTATTGGAGCGAACATGTCAGAGGAACTTGTCAGTTCTTTATATTTATATATTTTTTTTTTTTATCTGTAAATAAAAGTTAATTGAGTGAAGGCACGATGCTTACATAGTGAGTCTGGTGAAATGACTGAAGTAGAAGTGTAGCCCACTCTACTCTCCCTATGCCACGGATCTGTAACAAAATTGGCGATCTTTCCTAATGTAGAAGAGAGAGCTGGCTATGAAGATAGATTTAACCAGCTGACTGACTGCTTGTGTCTGTTTTTTATGAGCTCCAGGGAAGGGGCTTTGTGCTTTTCAGGGAACTCTTTGGAGGGTGAAGTGTGCCACGGCAATGAAGGAGATAGCGTGAGGAATTGTCCAATGGGAAGGAATTTGTAGAATAGCTCTTGGTGCGTACATCAGTGACACCTAGTGCAACATGTGGGTACTGCAAAGGTTATACTGGTGGTAGCAGATGATTGGCATGTGAGGGTCATTATTCATATCAAGTCCCTAACGCTAAAGCAAGTCCCCCAACCCTGAAACACAAATCTGTAGTTTTAAAAATGTTGTTTTGCTTTTGATTTATGGTCATTAAATAAGTTTTACAAAAGGATGGGTACACAGTCTTTGTTTTGCTTCTATCCCCTTTCCCATGCCTTTATTATAATAAATGCAGCATAGAAGTCTGAGGACTATTGCATTAATGTTTGTCTTTGGCTTTTAGTAGTCAGAGAAGCCCGTCTCCTGGCCCCAATCTTGCCTCCAGCACTTGTGCATCAAGCACGTCATCTGTACAACAGAACTCTGCACGGTCATCTTCATCTTCACTGACGCCAACGCTAGCTGCCTACTTCAATGAAAACCTTATAAAGCATGTGCAAGGCTGGCCTGCTGAGCACGCCGAAAAGCAGGTAATGTTCACCATCATGTTTTTTGGCTTTCCATTATTTTTTGTGGTTGATGTGTTTGTAGACTGGTGCAGGACTTTCCCAACAGAGTGTGTTGTACAGTGTTTGGGTGGTGATCATTTGGATTAAAGGTGAATGTTATTTCCCCAAGTAGAGATACATAGAAGTTATCACACTGAGATAGTTTGCTACCAGTTAGTGCCCTCTTTTCCCCACATGTAGGTGGTTTTGGTGAGCTCCAGGGCAGCTGGGCAATTTTATTTTATTTAGATTGATTCTATATTTTACCCCTTTTTCTGATCTATATATTTGTAGTGCACAAAGGACTGGGGTGTGTTTTGTGTCTGAGTGTATGTTTACCTGTTCACCTGATTGTCCATCAGTGTTTCAGATAATGTCAGGACTAAATGGAGCTTTTTCACTTTGTGGGTTCATTTATTACTTTGTTTCCTCTTTCTTACAATGCAAGTAAGTAAGGCAAGTAAATTTGTATATTTTTGTCTTGCTTGTTTCAGGCATCCAGGTTACGTGAAGAAGCCCACAACATGGGGAGCATTCACATGTCTGAAATTTGTACAGAGTTGAAAAATTTAAGGTCTTTAGTTCGAGTATGTGAAATTCAAGCAACTTTGCGTGAGCAAAGGTGTGTAATCATTTTTTCCCTCTGTACTCACTGTGTGTATTACATCATAATATATAGGGGGGTTTTTTGTTTTGTTTTATCTTTTTTAGTATACTGGGTAAATAATTTTTTATTTTTTTTTAATTGCTGTGCATCAGTAAACTTTTTTGATCAGCATGTGAACTGTATCCGTATAATGTAAGCCACTGACAGAGCAGGAGCCGTACTGTGCCTGTATGCACCTATGCTGATGAATTTAAACTGATTGTGAAGCCTTGTTTTTTTATTTTCCTCTTAAAATAGCAAAACATGTTATATTTTCTGCTCTGTGCAACGGTTTTGCACTGAGCAGTCCTGATCCTTCTCTTCTGGGCTCTCCGCTGGCACTCCTGGCTCCCCCGTGTGACCTCGTAGCATGGCACTTGCTAAGGGGGCACTCGTGTGTGTGCTTGCTCTCGAGCCCTGCTTGGAGTTCATAAGAGACAGAGCAGGGCTAGGCCCCACCCCGCTCCCTTGTCACTGGCTCTTATTTACAGCAGTGGGAGTCAGTGGCTCCTTCTGCTGTATCTGAGCCCAGTGAGAACTGAGAGACCAGGGAGAGCCTAGTCTCTCATGCACATTGCTGGATAGAGATCGGGCTCAGGTATGTATTGGAAAGGGGGCTGCAGGGAAAGCTGCATGCAGAGGGTTTTTTTTTTTTTTTTTCTTTTCACTTTCTTGCATAGAATGCAGTAAGGTAAACACCTTCTGCTATTACAAACACTTTAAACCAGGCACTACAGAAGCCTCCAGGGTCCCTGAATGTTTTGGAAGATTCAGATTGGGGACACAAATTCGTTAAGAGTCGGGTTCACTTTTTAAGGGGTTTTCCACAATATGAATAAAAGATTTGTACTTTTATCTTTGGCCCATTTTGTGAAAATAGGTATTTGAATCCTCTCAACCCATGTTTCTCAAGTAATGGGTCGCAACCAGGGGCGTCTCTGATGCCCCAATAAAATGTCCAGTGCACTGAAAACGTAGCTTAACAAAAACTGCCGACCACTAATATAGATGTTGAGGCGGCCAAGACCGCAACTACGGCCAGCCTTAATATTTATATTATTGCAGCCAGCAGGAATAGAATGAACATTGAACAGACTTCAGAGTTGATTTGTCTACCTTCACCCCTTACTTTGAGACAATTATCAAGAAGCATCTCTAGTTTTCCCATTAGTTCTAATTAATCTCATATGTTTCAATTACCATTTTATTGGATTTTTACCTCAATGACACTTTTATTTTCACTAGCGCTCTGATTACTGCACTATCCATTTTGGAAGGAAGCCGTTTGTTTACTGTTTAAAAAGTGCATATACATTGTAGAATACGGTATATACATTGTAGAATACGGCGTGTACATTGTATAATACGGTGTGTACATTGTAGAATACGGCGTGTACATTGTAGAATACGGCGTGTACATTGTAGAATACGGCGTGTACATTGTAGAATACGGCGTGTACATTGTAGAATACGGCGTGTACATTGTAGAATACGGTGTCTACATTGGAGAATTGTAGAATACTGCGTATACATTGTAGAATACGGCATATACATTGGAGAATACGGCATATACATTGTAGAATACGGCGTATACATTGGAGAATACGGCGTATACATTGGAGAATACGGCGTATACATTGGAGAATACGGCGTATACATTGGAGAATACGGCGTGTACATTGGAGAATACGGCGTGTACATTGGAGAATACGGCGTGTACATTGGAGAATACGGCGTGTACATTGGAGAATACGGCGTGTACATTGGAGAATACGGCGTGTACATTGGAGAATACGGCGTGTACATTGGAGAATACGGCGTGTACATTGTAGAATACGGCGTGTACATTGTAGAATACGGCGTGTACATTGTAGAATACGGCGTGTACATTGTAGAATACGGCGTGTACATTGTAGAATACGGCGTGTACATTGTAGAATACGGCGTGTACATTGTAGAATACGGTATATACATTGGAGAATACGGCGTCTACATTGGAGAATACGGCGTCTACGTTGTAGAATACGGCGTGTACGTTGTAGAATACGGCGTCTACGTTGTAGAATACGGCGTCTACGTTGTAGAATACGGCGTCTACATTGTAGGATACGGTATATACATTGTAGAATACGGCGTGTACATTGTAGGATACTGCACAAGTTGTTTTGTGGCATAAATTACAATGTTTTGGAATTAAATAATTTTTGGGTCGCAACTTAATCACCAAGGACAAATGGTTGAGATCCACTGCTCTAAAACATCAAAAGTAAGACCTGTGCATATAAAGCAGTGCACATACGAGTGGCGTCGAATAGTCATGGTAGCTGGTTTAGATCAGATTAAATAAGGTTTCTGCACCCAGAAAATGGTGGTACTTCACTAATAAAAAAGCATGAAAGCTTATTTGAATCTGCTAATTATGATATGGATTCTGGACATGGTGAGGCTGATTCACTACAAGTTGGGAAACTCCACTCCTTATATTTAGATTTACTTCAATTATCCAATCATGTGGAAAGCAAATTTCTTTACAATATTGGGTTTTCAAAGTAACTCCAGATAAATTGAATGGATTTTTGCTGCCTTAGTCAACACGATGCATCTTCTTCCAGAATTTAGTAAAGCATTCTGAAATGGTATTCCTGAGAACGCAGTGTGTGATGTCTCTAGAAGATGAGCTCCTAATTTAGGAGCCAGTCAGTGGATTCAGCCAATTCAGTCCATGACTTGCATGGACTTCTAAGCGGTCATGCTAGAAAAGGTCCCTGCCTAAAACGTTTGCATCACTGAAAATCATTTTCCATTTCTTAATGATTTATAACACCCACATTGTTTATTTTTATATCTAGTACGTAATGTGCTTGCTACTATTCAGTTCTCCTTTTTAAAGTAATTCTGGCATAAGATAATTCTGGGGGCTGCCATTGGTTTTGAATATGCTAGTTACCTAAAACCCCTATTTTTTTCAATCAGTTTTTGAGTTTTTTAGTGTTTAATATACAAAACAATAAAGAAACCATAAATTCTGTAGACCCATCTCAACAATGCATGTAAGATAATTAACAAAGTATGACAGTTCAGCTGGAAATGACAGTACAAGAAATCAAACCTCATATCCTAGCATTACATAAAGAGAAAAAAGTACAGCAGTAAAAGAGCTCTAGAAACACATCTGAATGAGTAGTAACACAAATGTAATACCATCATAGAAAGCACAATTGATCTTTCAGTTAAAGTCCGCTAAATACATTCCAAATGTGTCAAAGCAAAAGATATCCGATGTGTTTGATCATTTTCCTTCTAATAAAGCCACAGCCTGAGTAGAAATGCCTGACCCCTACTTTGACACCACTGAGTGGGGTTCTTGTTCTTTGAATGGAAGCAGTGGTCTCATTGCAGAGGTCAGACACACCACCTAATGAGTTGAACCTAATTCTGAAGTCAGAGCTAATGCTCTCCACTGTTTAGAGACCCCCCCAGTGATGGCACACTAGCGGTTGTGTCAGGCTGCTGCAGAGGAATCATTCCATCCCCGTGGAGAGCAAGTGTCCCACTCTGCAGCTTGCTAACGGGACACGCTTTTCTACTTGGTCTGGTTTTAAAGAAAACAAACGCTAAGGACTGGTTCACACCAATTCCTGTGCATTCCCCTGCAGTGTAATTTGGCAGCCCATTTATTTGAATGGGTTGCAAATTGCACTGGAATGCACAAAAAGTACTGCATACACTACTTTTCAAAAATTCAGTGTAGCAAATCGCATGGTACTGTGGTACCATGTGATCTGTTGCCTGCAAATTCACGGGGTTTAATATGCCGATAATGTATTGGCACCCACAGCAGAGGCAGCGTGTTTTGAACGCAGTGCAGGGAACACCCTTTTCCTGCACTGCACCACGTTCTGTTGTGGACAGGAGTTTGCACACCTTTTGTCCTGATCCACTTGGAATTTATTTAGCTGAATAAAATTGAAAGTTCAGTTGGAATGTTATGCTTTTGAGCCACCAAATTTGGAAAAGTATGCCGATCAGGAATGTCTGAGAAGTCATAAGTCCTTATCTGTATACTTGCAGGAGGTCAGTGATTAAAATATTAACCTTTTGTAGTTTCCCTGTAAACTGACATTTGCTTTAATTCTTGTAAAGCATTCATATTTGCCTCACTGGTTTGGTTTCTTTTCTCTTCCAGGATACTGTTTTTGAGACAGCAAATTAAAGAACTTGAAAAACTTAAAAACCAGAATTCCTTCATGGTGTGA